AATGTTAAGCCTTTGGATTCCTAATTAAACAACTTAAGTAACTGAGGCATCAGTTTAAATAATTACCATACAACTTTTGTGAATCTCAGAGCCAGAAGTTAAGATGGTGTTACCAGTGAAGCAAATCTTTGCATTTTAATGATACAAGAACATCATTGCAAACAGAGGAGGAAAAATAAAATGGGAAAATATACTTATCTGTGGAAGAAGAAAAAATTCTCCCTGTATTCTCTGGCATGTAGTGATGTGTGCATATGGAAACTGAAATGTAAGAAGTAGAACAAACTCAGCACATCTTGTTTCTGTAGTTATAATGAGGGTTTTTTTCTCTCTTTATAAACTGGCTCTTACATATCCATTTTCATATAACGTCTGCTAGCCATCTTCTCCAGAGGAACACCCATAATAGTGCTTATTTTTTGGCATTGATCATATATGGACTGTGTACTGTAAATACATATATCCCCCCTTGGAAATTTGGTTCTCTCATTCCAGAGCAGCAAAGCTCTGGAATTCATTGCTTTTTCGAACTCCAGGAAATGGACTATTTAAGTAAAAATGTCTCTATGATTTTTCATTTAAGTTATAATTTCCCTCTCATGTTTGTTGGAATGAGCAATCAAGCTGAGCTTCCATAAACTGCTGAAGTTTGATTTGCAATAGATACTGCTTTGAATGCCACACAGCCATGGAGAGTAAGAGAGCCTTAGAGTGCTGGTCTTGGGTCTGGGAGACCTGAGTTCACATACCCCTCTGCCATGCTGTGACTGTTACTCATTCTCAGCTTGCCCTTCCTCACAGGGTTGTTGTGAGGAAAGACTGCAGGAGAGTAGAATGACACATGCCATTGATGAAAAGGCAGAACAAAAATGTGCTAAATAAAACAAAGGATAGTTTTATAATGGAGAAAAAAATAGAGATATTTGTGTGTGTTTTGAAGAATTTATAAGTCAAGGGAAAGAACTATGTATGTGGCATTTTGTATGCATGCTAAAAGTAAGGTGCCATCACTGAAAAAGTCTCTGGCACCACCCATTTCACCTGTACCTACAGGCGTGGGGCACAGAAAGCATGGCTTGAGAAGAGGAACATAGACTGGACAATGGAGGAATAGGCAGTCCTTCATTAACCTGGAAAACCAAAACATCTGGCAGAAAGTTACAGACCTATTTCCCTTCTGAGCTCCTGTTATAAACCCCTCAAGAGGCTAATCCTGAATAGAATCAGTGACAGAATTGACAAGCATGTCCCTATACAGCAAGCGGGATTTAGACCCCATCGTGGTTGTGAAGAACAGGCTCTCAGCTTAACAACTTTCATTGAGGCAGGGCATCAGAAGTATCTGAAGACATCAGCAGTTTTCATCAATCTGACTGTCTCCTATGACACGGGATGGTCTGTTGTACAAGTTTTTACAAGTTGTCCCCTGCAGAACATTATTTCAACTTCCAAATAACATGCTGAGCGATAGAACTTTCCAAGTAATTATGGGTCAGTTAATCAGCAAACAGAAGAAACTGAATAATGGTCTACCCCAGGGCTCGGTCCTCGCTCGAGTTTTTTTCAATGTTCCCAATGTTCCCAAGATTATATCCCAGAAGTTCACTTATGTTGATGACATGGTGATTGCAGTAAGGCACAAATCAATTGAAAGAACTGAGGAAATACTGACTAGAGATCTCAAAATTTTGTCTGACTACTACCATAAATGGTGGCTTATCCCAAGTCCAGGAAAAACAGAATGCTCCTGTTTCCATCTCAATAACAATCTTGCCAACTGTGAGCTGGATGTCTATCTTAATGGCACCCAACTTACACACAACCATACATCTAAATACCTTGTCATTACCCTGGACAGGAGCTTGAGCTATAAACACCATCTTAGCAATGTAGCAATGTACCACTTCGATGGGAAGGTATCAGCGTTTCGTGCACCTTGGTGTTTAGTCATGCCGGCCACATGACCACGGAAACGTCTTTGGACAGCGCTGGCTCTTCGGCTTTGAAACGGAGATGAGTACCGCAACCCTAGAGTTGGATTCGACTGGCTTGGGAGCAAAGGAACCTTTACCTTTAGCAATGTAGCAGTGAAAATATGCACGTGAAACAACATTCTCCAAAAATTATATGGTACAATTTGGGGTGTATCTGCTACAACACTTAGATGCTCAGCTTTGGGTTTGGTGTATAGTACTGCGGAATATGGTACTTCTGTGTGGCTCAACAGCCCCCATGTCCACAGACTTGATGTCCAACTCACCAAATAACAAGAACCATCAGCAGATGTATTAAACCCACTCCAACCTATTGGCTACCCACATTGTGCCACATCACTCCCCCGCATCTCCAAAGCCAAGATGCTCTTCTTTGTGGATATAGAAAGATAATCAAAAACAGAGAGTTGCCCACTCACAAAGACATGGCTGGCACAGATCCAGACTAAGATCTCAACACCCAGCAATAAGATCTGCACAAACCCTGCAATCACAAAATTCCATTCTAGGGAATGAATGGTTGTGAACATGGATGCAATCAGTTCCATCCAATATCCATAACTTGATCAATATCAATGAGAGGCCCACAGGACTTGACTTTCCACGTAAAATATGGAAGATGGCTAATTGGCAGTTGTGCAGACCTGTTGTTTAAATGGGGCAAAATACTAGGACCCGAATGCAATTGTGGTGCAGTCCACCAAGCTGTTTTCCATCTGTCAGAGGAACGTGAACATCGTGCTTTCCAGGGAGATGTGACGGTGCTCTTTGAACTCTCCCCAGATGCAACTGAGTGGATTGAAAATCTAGATATTGGTATTTAGGGGGATTGCCCAAGCAGTCTGCATACCCATTGTATCAACTTGGTTACATATTTTATATTATATATGTGTAACTCTGCTATACGATAAATAAATAAATAAATAATGCAGGGTCATGGGGGGGGGACTGTACATATTCCATTTTGTGGCCTTTTGACCACATTGTTTACAGGTTTTTCTCCTCTATACATGTGTGTATGCTAACTTGGGATACATTGCATGTATCTGACTCTACTCATCAAAGTCTATGCAAGTTGCAATAATTGATCTGGTAAATTTTAGCATGTTAGCAATATTCCAGTTTGTTTTACTGCAATAGGACCTCTCCCAATAAAGTTCCTGGTGTTACAGTTTTAGTCTCTATGGATATAGGTGTGCACAAGTCTGATTATACCTAGAAATTACTTGCGTTCCAAAGGGGGGAGTCATAGGCAAGCTTAGAGGCACAGGGTAACTATCAGAGCTCTCTGAAATGAATGTGTAGATGTAACAGCTGTTAGGCTTTGTGTTTTAAAGTGGTTAAGAGTATGTGACAGACAGCATGGGAATTCCATATGATTTACCAAATTATCAATAAAGGAAGGAGAGTTGCAGCTAAGCCACTGCACTTGCTGCACATCTTTTAATTCGGTAGAACTTTTTTGTCTTCCCCTTCTCATTTCACTGTCATATTGGAAACCATCTTTTTCATCCATAAGGTTTTTCCCCATTAAGATCTGAATAAGCATCCTTCTGTTGAACTTCGCCAAGCATAATTCAGGTCTTGTCTATGCTACAGAAAAGGAAGCAATACACAAAGCATTTATTTTTTTATTCATTTGAGTACAAATGTATTTTGTGGGTCAGCCTGCCTCCCCATTCCAAGATCCTCACATCTACTGTAAGTAAAAAAACAAAATTCTACAACTTAGAAAACCTCATTCTAAAACAGGCCTGTACAATCTGGGACCCACAAAATAGAACACAGCCCACCAGCTGCATAAGGGGACCTCCCAGGGACTTTTATAAGCCTTCTAGTTTTACTGCATGCATAAACAGGAGGGCTTTCAGACATCTGGAAAACCAGAATACCACCATGGCTCATATTCTATGTTCTTCTTGGTGGGTAGCAAGTTGGGCACAGCTGTTCTAGAAGAGCTCTTCTTGTGATATAAAGAAAGAAAAGATACCAAGAGTATTCCATAACACCCAGTCTTCATCCCCAACAAAAAGAACATCATTTTCTGTAGTTCATCCTGATGTAGCTGTTGCCTTTGTTATTCTTCCTTTCTCTCTGTTGTTGTTTTTATCCTTGATTCCCATCCCTTCCATCATTCTATTGTTTCTTCCTGTGGGTCCAGTCTTGAGACTGTAAGCTCCATGGGGCAAATGCCTGAAAGTTTGTTTAATTATATTATCCTGTAAAAGTAACATACAGTGCTATGTACACTGATAATGCTGTTTAATTAACATTATTAAATTTTTGTTGCTCATTCTTCACGTTTGAAGAGCAGCAAGAAACATCTTGTAATACCTCCTTCCAGATTTCTTTTTCAGGCTCCATAGACTTTGCAGTATGTTGTTTTCAATGTTTTAATTTTTATTGCCCTAATTTGCTTTTTTAAAAACAAAGCTAGCATTATCCGTGATCTGATGGATGTACTGGATATCATCTGTTCCCTAGTGCAGATGCAGCTATCAGACAGAGTACTGGTTCATGTTTAATGATATGACTTGGCAGATTCAGCTTCCTTGAAAAGAAAACTAAGAAAGGAATTCTGCTTCTAACTTATTCTGAAATATGAATTATGCTTGTGTGTTAGAAAGATCGATAAAATAATAACAGGGCAGCCCCTGTCATCCATTCGTTCTTTGCTTAACATTAGACTAGTCTCCTCTCATTTAAATGGAACAAAGTGAGGGTGGCTCACATCATCAGAAGAACGTTAGAAACATGTAAACTGCATTGCTGAATGGAATTCTGTGGGGCTCAAAGATTAGCTTCATTTGTGTTCTTGGCAAGCAGATGCTTTGTAAACATTCTGTATTTTCCCCTTCTTTGCTGAAAGGAAAATGTCTGAATAATTATGTGCAATGGAATGTTCTCAGAAACTGGCCGTGCTGCAAAACCTGGCTCCCAATGCATTTAGTGGTGATTTGTCTTTAAGCAATTGTCTGTCTTCCCTCTCTGCCTTTGTTTTTTCAGTGAAGAGAGCTACAATGTCACAGACTATTCCTTAAGGGATCAGCTGTTAGTTGAACAGTGTGACAGTGAAGAGCTGAATTCCTCTCCTGTAAAAAATAGCACAACTATGCTTTACTCCCGGCAGACTTCGGCAAATCACCTCTTCAGATTAACTGTCCTAAGTAACCACGCTGGAGAGAAAATTGAACTACTGTTGGGAACTGAAACTCAGTAAGTAAATAACACATTTTTTCCTCAGTCTGCTTTTCACATCCAGGCTTCATCTCTTGGAGAAGAATAGACAGTTTCCCAGGTTCCACTGTCCTTTGTAAAGTGAATTAAAAACAATACCATATCCCTCCTTTTCAGTGAGCCAAGAGACGTTTCACAATGGGTAACAATCTCTTATTTCTCATGGGAATGCCAAATGTTTTTCAGCAGCTGCTAGTAATGAACCGATCAAGTGCGGTCATTAACAGCCTTATTTTGGCTTAGAGGATACATATGTTGCCACCTCTGTTTATTTAATTCAGAGTTCTTAGGATTTGTTTCAAGGAGCCCCCTGATGTCTATAAAACGACAAGAAAAACAGAAAGATAATAGTAACACAGAAAATTTGGTTACTGTTAAGTTTTATTTGGGGACATGGGAATGGCTAAGATAGTGTAACTCCTTTTCCCCCAGTGCAATGTTGGAATGTGTTGCCTTGTATTATTGATCTTGTGAAGTGGATCTGGCTGGCTCATACTTCTAAGTAGTACAGGGTTTCCCCCATTTATTCTCCCAGCAACGCTTCGAGGATAGGTTAGGTTTGGCCAGGCTAAGGGACAGCAACATGCTCAAACTCTCCCAGTGAGCATCATGGCTGAGCAGGAATCCAAGTGCATATCTTCCCAGCTGAAATCTGACAGCCTTTCTGCTATAACATACTTGCTTTTACTGTGTGGTAAAAATAGCATTCCCATTTGTTTCAAAAACCATGGCATTTTGCCATCTTACCATATTGGGGACTTATTGTAAGAATGTTTTACCACATGAATACTGTGGATAAAGATTACCTTAAAGTGTCTCTTCAAAATGATTGCCTGAATCCACCATTTCATATTCTGCTCATCAGCAGAACAGACTTTTCCTGCCTTTCTCCCTCCCGCTGCAGCCTATAGATTTCTGTGAAATGCTGCTCCTGGCGTACAGAGAATGTCAAGAGAGGCAAATTGGGGGCCTGGAGCAGGTAGGAGGAATTGGTGGAACTTACATCTTCCCTTCTGTTAGTTAGTGGAGAACTTAGTCTGGATCCAACCAACGATCTGCAAGAATCCAAATCACTGGCAACCATCTTGTAGAGTTCTACTGTGGTCTGTAGTTAACCATTCAGTGGTTAAGAGCAGCAATTAATTATTTTTGTGCCTATTTTTAATCATTTAGGTTTGCATTCTTTAGGTTGGACAAGATTGAACATCTGGAAAATGTGATATTAAGCTGTTCAGATAGATAGGAGAACCTACCCATTAGGGAGAAAGTTAAGAGAAATACAGTCATTTTGCTCTGTGGTCTGATCCCACATCCTATCATATGTGTACTATGTGGGTGGTTTCTGGTTGTCCTGAAGGGGAGGTAGAAGAGAGAGACCTACAGTTTTTTTGTCACTTCAGTGACATTTAAACTCATATATTTGAAAAAATACTGTATGTTCCCTTGAAGTCTGTTCTAAAGATTAATGCCTCATGTGCTAATTTACTTGATCCCACATCTCATGAGAAATTGTTACAGAATGAGGCTAATCAGGGGTCATTTTGTAGAAAAAGAGGTGCAGGAGCTCATTAGCATAACTCATTAGCATAACATATTTGCATATGCCACACCCCCTGACATCACCGGAAGTGTGTCAGAAGGCAACACCCACCGCTCAGGCTCCACTGGACTGTTTTGGATTGCTGGCTATTGGGGGGGGGGGAATGTGCAGATCTGTCCTCACAGAGGAGGGAGAGCTTGTGCCTGAATAAAACTTGGTCTTAAAGGTGCCACTGGACTGTTTTGGATTGCTAGCTATTGGGGGGGGGACGTGCAGATCTGTCCTCACAGAGGAGGGAGAGCTTGTACCTGAATAAAACTTGGTCTTAAAGGTGCCACTGGACTGTTTTGGGGCAGGGGGGAGCTCTGCAACTTACCTGGCTGCTTCTTGCTCTGACTGAGGGCTGCTGGGAGCAGGGGGTGGGGCTTGTTGCATGTGCCCACCCCCTGGGCTCTTTACTGCCGGAGCTCCACTCCTGTGCGCTCCTGCAGGAAATGACCCCTGAGGCTAAGTAATCATTATGTGTCCATATGAATAGTGTGGTAAATAATAAAACTTATAAGTTCATATGAGCTGATACCTGCTGATATCTGTTTTCAAGGCAGCAAAACCTTACCTGGCACAAAAATCTGGGTTTTGCCCAGCTGCATTTATTTTTGGTATTTAAAAAGTAATGTGTCTGAGTCAGTATTCCTGCAGATGCTACAGCAATGGGAGGACTGAAGCTAGGCTCAAGACTGTGGGTGGTGATGAGCCCCCACCCCCCCTTCCATTTTAGCCTGTTAAAGGGCTTTACCTCCTTCCCAAGCTAAGACACACTGTAGCATTACAGCATTACTTTGTAGGTAAAGGGAATGTCAGGGTTGCAGGGCATCGTGGCATGATTATTGTCATCCTTGTTCTTTTGTGCAGGTGTGGCAGCAGAAAAAGGGGGGGAATTGGGGCAGCAGCAAGTTTTGCGGGGACAAATGCGCGTGGACACTGCTTGGTGCTGTTGCCATGGCAGGGGCACATTTTCACAAACCTCTGCGGGCACAGACTGCAAAAGGCACAGGAGCTCTGTGACTGCTCTGTTAGAGGGAGAAAGCTTGCCTTGCCATGTGATACATCAAGATTCTATATGTTCACTCAGCTACTTAAAGCAGCATGGCAGAACTTGGGAGGGGAAGAAAAAGAGTGACATGGTGTCTCTTCCACATGCCAGGCTTTTGTAGCATGGTCTGGAAGAAAAAACATCTTCCTTTCCTTCCACAAGTTCTTTATGGTTTGCCTCTCCTTTCACTAGGCTTCTGCTGGTGATGGTGGCAATAAAAGCATGCAGCTGGCACTTCCTGCAAGAGTCCAGCTTGTAGGTGATAGATTTAACATCTCTTTCTCCTTCAGTGTCTTCCTTCCTTCTCGTTGGGTTTTTGTGGGAGACAATATGCTGGTGGTGTTCACAGGGGAAAAAAAACACCCATCCTTTCTTCCATAGATAACCTGAGGGAAGGAAAGAAGGATGGGTGGTGGTTCCTCACACTTGATGCTCCTCATGTCTCCTCCAGGAGTTCTGTATAAGGGCAGACTGTCTTACTTGAGTTGTCTGTACGTGTCCCAGGAGGAGCCAGTGAAGAGTGGGGACACTGGCAACTGCAAATAGCAGCTTGGCTAGTAAACCTAACTATACTCTGTGGCTCCTGATTGAAGTGCTTTCTTCTCCTCAGTCTGTAAATTTGTGAATGGATAGTTGGCAAAAAAATTATCTCAATTAGAAAAAGAGGGGCTCATTGGCTTGGGCACTTTGAAGTGACAAATGATTTTGTCATAAACTTTGCTCTTGGTCTAGCTGAGTGGCTACTTTTGCACGCTGTAGTGATGAAGTATATTTGTCTGTAATTTCCCTAGCAAAACATTGTACATAAATTGAAAGCGACCCCCCCCCCTTTAATACAATCAGAGTACTCCTTATTTGACAGGAACTATTCATACGTAATCTTCTCTGCTGGCAGTTTGTGTGACTGGTTCTGGATTTCTGTCTTGCTCCATAAAGAGATTCCTGTTGGAGGTGCACAGGCTCACTTTATGCCATAAAGTTGGCTGCTGTGCTGACAGAATTGCTAACGTGCAAAGGATTTGCTGGCTGATGGTCAGGGGCTGCTTTGTGACCAATATGTCCTTCTTCAGCAAGCTCATGTCCAAGACAGCACGCTATGAAGCCATGAAAATTGTGTAGCTTGGGAAACAACTGAAATACTGAAGGGTAACTGTCAGTCTTGTTTTGTTGGACCAGTTCCAGGAGGGTGTGCTGCGTTAAACAACAGCAACAAGAAACACTTTGTTCTCACTGGGGTAAATCCCAATGAGAGAGAGAATTCCTTGCCTTGAGATGCCATTAGCGTCCAAGCAGAATTCTACAAAGCTCTAAGATTGTATCTGTCACCATAGAAACTAGAGGGCTGAAGGGAGTTTATCTGTACAATAGCCCACATATCATCTTGCCCAGGAAGTTTTACAGGGGTCCCCCCCCCATCACAATGAAATTTCCCTGAAACTACATGTTAGTGAATCTGGTAAACAGTTCTTCTGAACAATGTTAGAGTCAACCACTGAAAAGCCACAGCATCAGATTAATAAACACCATAATGCAGCCAGTGAATTAAATCAATTTCAAAATTCATAACTGGTGGTCTCAGAAAACCCATCCTACAACTGCCCATTCTTTGAAATATGTAAGTATTCAATAAAACCTTTTCAGAGGAAAGGAAGTTGCCAGTTGTAATCTATAATGCTTGATTCACATTGATACTGCTTGTGGCTTTTAAACCAGGACAGAACGAGTAAATGAAAGAGTGAAAGTCCTTTGAATGTTGCTAAGGTATTCTGTTTCCTGTGCCAAGGTGCACATCTTGTAACCTAATAGGCTAAAAGGCACTGATGAAATTCCCATTTTGTCACTCTCCCTGTATTGTACTAGGACTGGTTTAATCCAGTTTCCTTTTTCCATTTCTATTTTTTTTTTTTGTACTGAAGCTTTGTATGACGTGATAATACAATTTTGAGCAATTTGCTGGATTCATGTTACCCTTTCTGATCTTGAAGATGAACCTTCAACCTTCTTACATGTGCCATAAACCATCTTTGAAATGTAATTGGGATTTCAGGTTTTAAAGAGAAGCTGTAACCTTTTCCTGAAATGTATTTTTCCTTTTGCATAATCATGTGAATATGTGGGAAGCTCTTTGACAAAGGTTGCACGGAAGAACATATTTTACTGAAATAAGCTTTGTACAGTGCTAGGACATAATGACAAGCTCAAGTCTTAAATCTATTCATTTAAAAATGGTTGTAGCCTAGCTATTTATTTGAATAGTTCGGAGACAGATTGTTCTTGACCCACTCTGTCAGCTATTGTTACTTCTCTTCTGATTTTTTTCCCCTAAAAGTGTTCTTTTAACAATGTGTCGCTTCTATGGGCTTGGTCATATGCTGCTGGGTTTCTTTTTGCATAGATTTTTCAGAGATTTCCAATGGGGCACGCACACACACACACACACACACACACAGAATTATTTGCTTATTAAACCTGAATTTATTTTACTGCTTTAAGAACAACTTTTCTTATGAATAGTACAAATAAAATTATACTCTGAGGTATATTTATGAAATTATAAAGCCTTAGTTCTGTTCAAACAGAACTGTGACTACATATCAAATGCTAACTGCAAACTGCAAAAGGAGAGCTGTCCTGTGTGCTACTTGAACATCACAATCTAAGAAGCAGGAAGACAAAAATTGAAAACAGAAGCCGTATATTTTGTAGTAAACAAAACTTATTTTTATTTGGGCTTAGAAGCAGTCTTTATACACTCATTATCAAATATTATCCGATATTAAGTAGCAACTATGGTGTACTCCTGCTAAAAGTAGAGGCTGTTACGTTAGCAGAAGTGTTTTCTAAAGTTGCAGTAAGAAGAAGAAGAAGAGATTGGATTTATACCCCGCCCTTCACTTGGAGTCTCAGAGCGGCTTACAAACTCCTTTCCCTCCCCCTCCCCACAACAGACACCCTGTGAGGTGGGTAGGGCTGAGAGAACTCTGACACAAACTGCTCTTTTTCAAAGACAGCTGTGCCAGAGCTTGTGACTGACCCAAGGTCACATCAGCAGGTGCAAGTGGAGGAGTGGGGAATCAGACCCGGTTCACCCAGATTAGAGTCCGCACACTTAACCACTACACCAAAAGGTGTTGCAGAAGGAGAACTAATTGTTTCCAATGACCAATATTTCCACTTATACATGGCATAGCACTGGCAACAGAATATTAGACTTAATATATGTTCATGCAGTAATTTTAGTTTAGAATTTATTAATGCAGTTAAAGAATGCATTTTCGAAGGAGTAAACGCTTCTGACTGTGCAAGAATCATGCCTCGTATAACACTACCACTTCCACTGTGACCCTTACTCGGGTTGCCGGGTCCAATTGTCCTGGTGTCAGGGGGTGGGAGGGAGCTATTCGGGAGTGTGGGGTGGGGGAAGATCACTGTGCACAACTTTGTTGGTGTGATGATGTTACACGAAAGTAACGTCATCATGCTGGGGATGTCACACGTCGACATTCAAGCATTTTGCCCGAAATGCTAGTGTCATCCCTGGCATGATGACATCATTTCCATGTGATGTCACCATGCTGACCACATCGATGCATGACTGGCCTCTTCAGGGGTGGGGCTTCCCCCACCAACCAGCTGGCCAGTGGCAGATTAGAGCCTTGAAGATTGGGGGATCCCCTGGCCGGACCGGGGGTTTGGCAACCCTAAGCCTCATATTAACAGAACACCACTTACTTGGAGATGAACTCTGCTGACATTTTGTTAGATACACACCACTGTTCTCTTCAACAGTGAAGTAACATCATACACACAGTATTCCATATTGTCAAAGTTAGTCACATTTAAACAATAAACATATCAGAAACATCAGGTTCTACAATGCCAAGACCACGGCCACACAGCCCGGAAAATCTAGAGCAACTAATGAACTCTGGCCGTGAAAGCCTTCGACAACATAATAAACATATCCTTAAAAATCTCTTGCATGTAGAGGCCTACAGACATTACAAGAAACAGAGAGCTTGTCAGCATCAGCACAAACACAGCATGTGCACAGAGTTTGACCAAAAGCTTCCTGGTTTGATCAAGCTCCAGGTTGATGTGATGACTAAATGCAGGTGCCTTGGTTAAATCAGAGGTTGTCTGCTCCTCACAAACTGGGATTATAAATTTAAATTAAATCAAAATTTAGAATCCCATGCTGTAAGGAGTAAACAGACTCCAGTTCCCCTGAAGAAAATAGCTACTTTGGAGGGTGGACTCTATGACATCATAGCCCTCTGCGGTCCCTGCCCTTTCCAGGCTCCACCCCCCCAATCACCAAAAATCTCCCGACCCAGTTGAATGAATGCCTATCAGAATGGCAGAGAAAGGGACACACTCGTAGGTCAGCGGCTTTGCATGGTCAAGTGCCATCAAGTTACAACTGACTTATGCATGTGTAAAGTGCCATCAAGTTACAACTGACTTATGGCGACCCCAAGCAAGTAGTTTTAAAGGCAAGTGAGAAGCAGAGGTGGTTTGTCATTGGCTTCCTCTGCAGAGCCTTCCTTGGGGATCTCCCTTCTAAGTACTGAACCTGCTTAGCTTCTGAGATCTAACAAGTTCAGGTTATACCATGCTGCCTTCCCTCCCACGAGATGCCTTAGGTGTACGGGCGGGGGGGAATGATTGTAAGTTAAAAGTTAAGCCAACCCCCTGCAAAAAAAAATTGACCTGAGAGAGAACTGACAACAACAACAACAACAACAACAACAATAATAATAATATACTTTATTGTCATTGTAGATAGTACAACGAAATTAAGGTGCAATCATTCGGTGATCTACAAGCATACTCATATACACTCACACAACCATACTCATATACACTCACACAACCATTAGGGTTCCCATTGCAACTTAACCACCAATGTCACCCAAATTCCAATTCATACAGCATTTAAAGCAATAATAGCTCTCGAATAAAAACTGTTTTTTAATCTGTTTGTCCTTGTTTTGATTGTCCTTGGGATGTTGCTCATTGCCCTTGGGATGTTGATGGTCAGTGAAATGGGAGGATAGGGAAAAGGGTCTGCTCAAACCCTAATAGTGTGTGGTATCTTTGAAGGTTAAGTAGCGTCAGGATGGGAAGCGGCATCCTTGTGGGCCTCTGGGGGTTGTGAAATCATAGAACATAAGAAGGCATAAATATTAGTTATCAAAAAAATCTGAGCCAAGGGGAATAAATCTGTAACTTCTCCCTCCTTCAGGAATGAGCGTGCTCGCTGGATTACTGCACTTGGACAGTGCAGCGATAGACGTTCCATGGATAGAACAAGTAAGTGTTAAACATGAACTTTGATATAAAATAGAAATGTATAGCCACTGTTGATCTCCACTGGGGAGAAAAGCTAGGTATTAATAAATAAAAATGAAGTGGCTTTTTGGTGTACAGGTTTAACAAATAATGGCAAAGTGAATGTATTGCCTTGGATTTTGCCTTTCAGTGTTTGCGGGGGAGGGGAGTCTGTCTGTGTGTGATGGAACCCTGAATGAAAAAATAATAATAATAATCTAAACAGAATCTGAACTATTGCTGGTAAACTATTTTCCGAAGAGTTTTCTTGAAATCACCGTTGTTTTATTTAAGCAAGATTTGTTTAATTATCTCTTTAAAACATGTATAAGCCACCCTTTCTTCCAGAAGACTGGGACCCAGTGCAGGTAACAATAAAATCTATACATCATAAAAACATCAGGTGACATGGTTACTGTCGGACATAAATTATTTTGTTACTCTCTCTGTGGCAAAATTTATGGGAGCAATAATTAAACAACAGACGAATAACACTTAAGTAAGGCATTGTCTTATTTTATAATTCTATTTTCTGCTCAAGGCTATCACTATATGAGCAGTAAGAAAAAGAAACAAAAACAGCAAAAACATCAAAAATAATAAACGCCAAGCAATAACATGTTTTAAAAGATTGTGATGCTTCTTTTTTTGTGTGCATCATAGAAAATTTCAAGTCCAATCCACGATTGCCCTCTGCACTTTTATTGGCCATGGGAGGACAACCAGTTTACAAAGCTGCATGCACTATGGGCGTGCATTTGGATCTACCCAAGCCGAAAAAATGTCCAGGTATATTTCAGCTTCCCAAATGTATCCAGGTTTTCTCAGGAAAACTGGATGGAAATCCTGAGAAAATTCCAGATATATTTGGGAATTTCGGGTAGATTTGAAAACAGCGGAGAGGCAGAAGCAATCTTCTCCTGCCTCTCAGCTGTTTGTTGGGCAGGCTTATGCATTCCCTTTAAAGGGACTGCAGAAGCCAGCCCAAGATCAGATGGGTCAGTGTGGAGTTGAGAGCTCCCCCCCCCCCCCCAAAAAGCAGCTCTGTGCTGCCTTCTTCTTCTGCCCAGTTTAAACCAGGAGGCAGGGGAGGGCAGCCCAGCTGGGATCACTGTGCCCGCAGGGAACCGATAGCTCCCTGCAGGCACAGCTCTGTGCTGCCTTCTCCTGCAGCTCAGTTTAAACCAGGCGCAAGAGAAACCAAGCCAGCCCCAGGATCGGGCTGGTATTTTTTTGTTTGGTCTGTTAGAAACACACACACACACACACCGGGATTTCCAAAAACTCCCAGCTCCGAATACCATACCAATATTTGCATCCAGGATTTTTCAGGAATCTTGAAAGTTCTTCAGGTTCCAATAGACCCAAACCGAAAAATACTGGTAGAAAAAAACTGCACAGCCCTAACATCCACATTGTTACCATTTGGTGAATGATCGTCTGTATTTGCAGGCTGCCTCTTCTGAAACTCTGCCTGCTGGGCAGGTGGGTGTGGAGATGAAGCTCTATTCCAAAGCCCTGTATCCAGAGACCATTACACCTAACTCCCATTGGAATCAATTGGATGTAAATATTTTTTCCCCTGTGGGCTTAATTTTCTATTTCATAAATGCAGCTTCAGTATCTTGAATGTGTGAAGCAGGCACTGCAAGATTGCCTGCCACAGAACATTGCTTCAAATCAAGTCAGCTAATTACCCTAATGCAAGCTACGAAGGAATAGGCTTGTCATGTGTTTGCTGTCCCTTAAGCCGAATTTGTGAACTTACCCCTTAGATTCAACATGTGGATCAGTAACCTATTCTTTCTTCTCAGCACTGACACAGGTAGAGATCATCAGATCGTATACTGCCAAGCAATCGGATGAACTCTCTCTGCAAGCTGCTGATGTGGTTCTGGTCTACCAAAAAGTGAACGATGGTGAGTGGGTTTCTTTGCTGTTTAACTTCCATAAAGGAAAACAGTCCTTTTCTGTGGTGGTACCCCAGTTGTGCAACTATGCTCTCATGCACAAGGCCAAAGATGTGTTATTTTCTTGAGCATTTTAGTAGATGATCCCTCTCCCCACTTATTTTTGTTGCTTTTTTAGTGATTTGTGTGGTGATGGATTTTAGTTAGCACTCACTGGGTTTTATTGTTAATGGTTTTATTCTGGTTTTGTAGCTGACTTGAAGGTTTAGTGGTGCAATGGCAAGGTTTAAATGTTTTAAACAAAGCAGAATAAATTGTTGGGGGGCGGGCGGAATCTGTTCCCAGCTGTTGTGATCTGAGTCTAAACGGTGACTACAGGACTCTTTGGAGGACAGACACCGTCCACTTTCCTCCCCTAGAGGCTAGATTTTCTCTCCATTTTTCTGTCCCTTCACTGACTGAGTAGCCCTGGTAATGTGTATTCTTCTGCCCTGAAGAAACCTTGGCTGTCCCACCCTGTGACAGTAATATATATTGGCTATTTGCTCAGTCCAGGAACCTGAGGGAAGGGTTAGGGTCTCCCTTTAACTTAAACCCTTGAAAATTGCACTTGAGGCACTTTAAAATTCAAAAATAACAAATGGTTTTATTTAAGATTGAAGGGGGAAAGGTCAAGTGAAATCAGGGGTTGAAATTACTGAGGTAAAATCGGTTCTTGCACAGACTTTAGGTCTTATGTACAGCTTAGCAAGAGTCCAATATCACCTTAAAGACTAACAAAAGTTGTGGCACGGCCTCTTAAAAAAAGTGCAGTCTGTCACGGCAAGGTTTAAATGTTTTAAACAAAGTAGAATAAATTATTGGGGGGGGCGTGTCTGATCCCAGCTGTTCTGAGTCTAGAAGGTGGTTACAGGACTCTTAGGAGAACACACCTACAATGCTTATTTTCTGAATGGGGCTGTAGTATAATGGAATGGTTTGGGAGGGCACTCATTTATAAAAGGAACAGGATTGTAGTCTATTCCACTTCATTGTACATATTGTACAGTGCTCTTACTGCTTTGCTTTCTACTTTTGCAGTTCCATTTTTTTATTGGTGGTAGATTCAAAACAAATAAAAGTGATCTTTACACAAGACTGAATTTGCTGTCAAGTTGTGGTTATGGTGAAGCTTCAGACGTGAATTTTATGCATTCCTGGAGAATAAATGTATCTACAGCTATTTCCCACGTAGCAAAATGGAACCTCCAGTGTGCTTCTGAATTCCATCTATTGTGTGCAAAATATTGGAAAAGATAGTGTCTTTATGCCTTGCTTGTTGGCTTTGTGGAAGTGTTTGGATGGCCATGGTGGGAGACTGGGTCTTAAACTGAATGGACCTTGGATCTGATCCATCAGTCTGTATCATATTGAGGTCTTTATTATTCATTGCAGGTTGGTATGAAGGAGAGCGATTGCGTGATGGGGAGAAAGGCTGGTTTCCAATGGAATGTGCCAAGGAGATCACGTGTCAAGCCACGATCGACAAGAATATCGAAAGGATGGGACGTTTGCTGGGCCTCGAAACAAATGTTTAGAGCCCCACTGCCTTATCTTTGTTCTACGATTTGCACTTCATCTGCTATGTGGTTTTTTGGACTGTTCTAGGTGGCTACTTAATAAGCTGTAGCATGTGAAAAAAGGGTAACAGCTATGCACAGTTATTTGGAGTTGAAGCAGCCCAGGGCGACTGCATGCAGATAGGAATCTGCTAACATTATTTGAAATGATAGAAGTTTGTTTTATTTTGTTTTACAAATAAACACTTTAATTAAAAAAACAGTTAAAATTTTATATAGATTCCTGATAGTGTAATCGCTTGATCTCTTGTGGATTAGCTGCTTTTGAATCTTAATCTAGTGCCTTTGTTTAAGAAAGTAGTTTTAAGGTCCATTCATTTCATTTGCCATTTTACTTTGCTATTAGACCCTTTTCCTTTGTCCCTGTCCAGGAAGGCAGATCCATGTGAAAAAGCAGGCTTCCCTTACACATCACTGGTGTAGCTTCTGAACTGAATCAGCTGGATATGAGTATCTTTTGATGTACAACCGGAGTTGGTGTATGGCTGAGAACACAGGCTGCTGAGCATTGGTTATAAATCAGTCCCATTAAATTCTGTGAGAATGGAATATACAGTTAAATGTTTAATTGCGTTCATTTCAGTAGAACTCATAGTTAACTTTTGTTTGATTGTTACCTGTAAGCTCTACTGAAATGAACACAGTGAAGTTACCATGCCTGCCGCATAATGGTCACACTTGTTACTCTTACTTTTCAACTTTAATATACTTGTATTATTAATCAGTAGCTTTCTACTATCAGCTTCAGTCATTTTCCTATTTAGAGCTGTCATGGACAAAGAGGGCTGGCTGTGCCCTGTTTCAAATAATAGCAAGAGGAGAGGAAAAACAAAGCAGGTGATCTGAACTGTTACATTTGACGATCCTTAACCAGCTGGTCAGCAGTAAACACAATGATCTGAGCCAGCCACAGCCACCGGCTGCAAGTCTTTCAACCATGCTCAGCACCATTCAGAGCTAAGAAACAGACCACTAGGTCCTACAGCTTCAGAGCAGGTATTCCTTATGACTCACACCACAGAGCAGAGCTGTTTGACACTTCAAGGTCTGAATATGCTTGGTAAGAAGCTCAGAGCTCATGTGGCAACGTTTCCTCTCCTTCTCATGCAATGTCTAGTTGAACAGGTTGATGTGATCACATTGTGTGCTTTGGCCACTGCCAGTGGCCACCCTGGCTGATACCTAGTGGTAGCTGTGAGGGTAAAATGAAGGAGGAGAGAAAGAGGGTGTTTAGCTGCTTTGGGTCGACCTTGGGGAGAAAAGCAGGGTAATCTTTCTGAAAAGATTTAACTGGAAATTAAGAAGACAGGAGATGAGATGTGGAACAGCAGCTGCCTTGTGTGTTGCATAACATCTTGTTAAACCTTCAGTCTTATTTGTAGAACACAAAAACCATTCATTTCAGAATAGTACAAAACATCTTCCAGAGATGAAAATAGACATGGAAAACACTTCTGACTCCATCTATATCTTTGAAACCGTTGCCAAGATTTCCCTGCTCAACCTAAAAAATTGTAGAAGAATTACAAGAGTGTTGTACGTGGCAGTAATGTGATCTGTCAAGTCTGTATTTAATATTTTCAAAGTGTGAGACTGCCCCTCCTGTGAGTTGGTGTAGAGTAATCCTGGTATTGATTGTGAATACTGAACCTTGAGCAAAGTAATGATGTTGTTGACCGCATGAGGTCGCATCCCAACAGTGAATTAGGCAATTAAGCTCCTTGGCCCCACTGCACAAAGAGTTGGTTGCTCTTTCAGCTGAAACCAACAGGACTTTAATCAGATAAGCTGGCCCGTATGATTTCACGTGTGATTTTCCACGGGCTGGGGGCTATTGATTCTTGGCAGGGTCTCTTGGTATCTTGCCTGCCTGGAAGAGGAGCCTTGCTGTGATTTCTGAACGTCTCATTATAAATCTCCATGTTGGAGTTTACAGGCATTTATTTGTCAAACTGCACTGTAAATAGGAATTAATTTGTAATTGCATTTGTAATTAATTTATACATAGGAGTTAATTTGCAACTTCCTTCTTTTTTTGTAAATAGGAATCTATTTTCTACGTCATGTATTATAAGTATACCTTTGTCCTGCTATGGTACAGTTTCTTCCTTAACAGGAATAACACAAAGCAGATTTTAGGAGAAAATGATAAGGTTTGTTTGTTTTTTAAACGTATGCTATTTTTTCACTTGGATAGAAATCACATATTGTAATATTTATATATAATGGACTTGAACAGTGAATGTTTGAGTAGAGGTAAATCTGCACTCCCATCTCTACGGAAGCATATACTGGTTACAGTGTAGACTGCTGGAATCAGTGCTGTAAGGCACATTTCTAGGCATTCAGACAGAAAGTGTGTAACTTTTGCAAATCTGTAGAATAAATCCAAACTGTTACACATGGATTTGAAGTGATGCTGCGGCTGTCAGCCTGTCCAGAATGTATTGTACATATTCGCGTATAAATACATCTGCTACCCACCTACACAGGAGTTTCTAAGAGTGTGTTTGTTAGCCGTTCTGAAATTACTGCACATTAACTGTTGTTCTGGGTGGAGGGCCTTCCTTTGGGATAACAGCTGTTATAAGGGTAGAATCACCTTGACTGCTTTCTTCTGATCCAACAAAATAGTCCTAATGCCCATGTGTTACTGCAGGACTAGCTACTGGGAGA